AGTTAGTTGTTGAAAATATTAATTAGAATGTAAATTTTTAGACAAATTCTCTAAAAAAATGTACTGCCTTACACTATACTTTTAACTATAAGCATGAATAATATATATATATATGTGTGTGTGTGTGTAAAGAGCTAAAAACAGTTATATTGGATGACAATTAACTAATATATTGAAGAATCAAAATATCACTTGAATGCCAAACTCAAAAAAATGTGTAGATATAAGTTTATGCTCTATTATACATAGAGAAGGAACTAAACATTTACCATTTCAAAGAAAATTTCTAATAATCATTGAAGCCTTGATCCAAGAATAAGTCAGTAGACCTGAACGAAACCACTAAATTTGAAGGTTGTACCTCTTTCTATCATCTTACAATTCAATTTAGTAATTGGATCAATCCTATGTTTGTAATTCATTGATATGGAGTTGCCTGCCTTCAATTATGTAGGGCAAATTTCCACAAATTTTAAGCAAACGAATTTTGTTTTGCTCTTACGTGGATATAACTAACTTCACAAGCATGTGAAGTATTTTGATTTAATTTTCTTGAAAATGTCTTTTAACTGTTAAGAATTAAAAATTTTTTTTAATAGATATTTTGAATTTTTTTTTTTATAAGGATAATGGTTAGTAGGTTAGTATTGTTAAATGTTAGCAACTGAGGATTCGATCTCTAAATTTGGTAAACAGCCCACCAACCTCAATGAGGCGTGCAGCTATCGGACCGTTTGATGGAGTTCAAATATTATGAATTTAAACGTACATTAAAAAAGATATTAAAAAAAAAAAAGAGGACCATCAATGCAAAGAAATAAAGTCATTGATAAACATAACATTATTAGGGGCCACTAAGGGTTCAAAGCACATGCTACTTTTGTCCAGAATCGGAGCATAACCAGGGGTGTGGGTGTGTGCGTGGTGTGGGATTTCAATTAATTAAATAGACATGACACATTGACATTAGTGGAATTTAAAGTGTGCTTCATTTTGAAGGTAGCATAAAACATAAGTAAGGATGCATGTTATACCAACCTGTTTTAGTGATAAATACATTTCAATTGTTGAACATGGTTGGGATCTTGGGTTTCATTCACAAAAAAGCATCCCCACATAAAAGTTGTAGTCGTTTGAGTGATTGCCATTTCTTTTGGAATTTGTCTTTACCACGAAAACATGCAAGATGATGCTATTGCACTATCGCTTTTTGTTAGGCACCAAAAACATTTGTTGCTTTCACTCTCAATAACACGAAACACAGTATTCAAGAAAGTAACTCAATTGACCAAGAACAGTTTTGGTAAAATTTGTAAATGTTTCAATTTGTTGGTACTATTTATATTTTATAAATTTAAATTTTTTTTTTAAAAAATTTATATTTTTTAATTTTTTTAACTTTATCTTAAACAATAAATTTTGAAAAATTTTAAATTTTTATTTTTTATAAATATTTTTTACTCACTTTTTACTCACTTTTTATTATTTTTAAAAATATTTTTAAAATTTTTTCCGTAATAAAAATTTAAACTTAAAATTTATAAACAATATTCAAAAAATAAAAGTTCCACCAAACAGGCAGTAAAGACTTAAAAAATTTTATATTAAAAACCTCGAATTTAAATTTTAAAGCAGATGAAAAAGAATTTAAAAAAAAATGAAAGAGCTATTACCTCTAATATAACTTATCATCAAATACACGGCAAAAAAAAAACACACACATACACACACACAAAGGTTGTTAGGCACAAAGTATCCACAACAGGCCAAGAGAAAAGAGAAAACATTATACTCAGTTATACTCAGTTGTGACCTATCAAATGGAAAACTATCGCATACACGTGCGGTCAATTGAGAAAACTAGTTTTCAGTGTTACATTATACCTGATTCAAACAGGTTTTCATTTGATTTTGAGTAACATGTTTTCTATTTGATTCATGGATACAATACCATTTAGCAGCTGAAAGTCAATGATACAAACTCAATAATGAGAATGGTGGAAATCGAGTTGCTGTATGATGAGTGTGGTGGGGGGCTGCTGCAGCGTTGAGCCAGGAGAAGCAAAGTGACCAAAAATATCTTCGTTAGGGTCACAAGAGGTCATGATTTAGCATCTTCAGGCTTAGCAACACGTAGCTTTCTCAACTTTCTGTCATGATTGAGCATGGCACTTACGCTCTCAACTACCAATATAGTCTGCAAAAGGTGGGGGATATTATGGAGAGAAAAAAAAGAAAAAAGGAGACCAGATTATGAAAAATTAGCAGGAACTAGAAAAGATACTACTATGTCTTCTATCATGGATTCCACCTCGGATGATGTTCATGATTTTAATATGTACACACAAGCCATTTCCGTCCTTACTGAAAATTTCTTTTTGAACAACATAATATCATGCTACAACCGGAAAAGAATAATGGGATGATAGCAAAACCTGCAAGCAAGCATAAACAGTAGCCGTGGCAAAGTAGAAGTTTGCATTCCCGGTGCCCTGTAAATTTCAGTCAGATAGTTACGTTACCAAGGAAATACTCCTCATTTGGGAACTAAAAGATAGCACTGAAAGAGGCATACCCTCCATATCCATAGATTGTGCATTACAGGGCTAAGAAGTGAAACCCCAACATATCCACAAAAAAGGAAGAAGCTGAATTGCATATCTGCATGGCAGAGATAAGGTTTAAATGCCAAACCAACTTTAGTCCTTTGTTGAGAGTAACCGAACATAACTTAGTAATTAACTTGCCTGCTAATTGGTTAACAAACAAACCCAATAAACCCAGGTATAGAGCTGAATCTCCAACCTGGTCAAAATTAATCAACAGAGGTTAGGGCATAATCAATTAGATTTCTAATGTTAAAATATATCCAAACAAATGCAATAATAGAATAAGAACAAGAAGAACAATAATATCTGTTGTTATGAGCTGAAATGGTGGACCAAGTAAAATTAAGAATTTCTAACTGCAAAAGTTTGTTGAAGCAAAACACCATAAATTGATGTATTTTGCATTCAGACCAGAAGGTACTGATATTAACAGACAATGTTAAAGGCTCAAAGCTACAGTGAAAAATAGAATGAGTAAGGATAATAAGTAAGAACTTACTGAAGGGTAAGATTTGAGCATTGAGGAGATGGCAATGTACACAAAAGCCAAGAAACAAGGCCGGTGGTTCAGACGTATGGCTAATGGCAATATCATAACCAGAATATTCACATGGAAAACTATCAAAAAGAAGTTTCTGAAAAAATCAAAAACTTCAGCGAAGAAGTACCTACAACAAAATATCAGGCAATTAATGATATAAAACTGAATGTAAGATCAACTTATGCCTATCATACAGAAAAATGAAAAATGGTTCTGGGATTACCATAAAGCGCCTATATTTGGAGATAAATCTTCCACAGTGAGGATGAACCCATATGTGCTACAAAAACCAGATGCAAGGAGACGGAACCGTCAGACCTTTTCATATAACAACTGTATCACCATCTTAAAAAAATCTTAATTATTGAAGACAGCATGGAATATCTCAATAAATTCACTCCAACTTTCCCTCTTCAAATAACCAATAGAATTGATTGTCAAGTCTAAAGCACCTCTTTGTCACAAATCATTTGGATTATCTTCTGAATCCATAAATAACCTAATGATAGACACTTTTCAGTTAGTCCGTAGACCATGCATCAAACTAAGGCCTTAAGCTTTTAAAATGCAAAGCTCACGTGCGTAAGAAAACTTATTTTTCAAAGGATTGTTTCCTCTTGCCTGGATATGCACTTATATCTATTAAAAATTAGACTGGGTTTTAGCATGACATAGTAATTAACTAATACCTTGTAAACATCTCCTGTAGACCGCCATACTGTTTAAGAGAGATGCTGCATAGAACCAACACATAGACCGACCATAAAAGAGCCCAGAAAACAAAATAAATGACTGGTCTCCAAGAAAAGCCAATGGGTAGCTTTGGCTGCATCAACCCTTCACTTGGGGACTCATCTAAATTCTTACTGTATTTCTCTTTCATGAATAATTTCCTAGGAGGGGCATCTGGACCATATCCCAATAAGAAAACCACCTGTGCTTAAACCAAAAAATAATTACACTTCTATGTAGTAGTAAAGATGGATATATAGTTAAAACCAAAAATTTCCTGGGCAGATTGATTACAAAGTAATAAGAAGTTTTGTAAAACATCTTCTAAGAGTTTTCCTACGACAAACTTGCTTCATTGATACAAAAAATGACAAAGCAAAAAGTAGGCATACTGGAATAATCAGAATGGCAGGATAAAGAGACAGGTGGGTTGAAATGACCCATCCAAAAGCAGCCAAGGGAACTAGTCCTGCAGTAAAAAAGGATGATAATTAATAAAAATTGAAAATTTGAAGATAAAACTAGAAAAGTCCATGTTATGTTGACCAAATTAACATTTATCCATCCACTTGTCAACTGCTAACCATCTCAGTCAGCAACATTTAGACAAGAAGCAGGGGGATTAATAAGATTGCTATAGGAAGAATATGCTTCTGAAGAAAATTGACAAATTGAAGCCAAAGAAGTGGATCAAAATATCAAGATCAGAAATAAATCAGTTAAAAAACTGGTTGAGGTAAAAGACTTGCCACTACTTATAAGAGGTCTTAGTAAACTTCTTACTTGAGCAAGCTCCAAAAAGGCACAATATGACAGCAAGATTCTCAATAGGTGATGTTGACAAGCCAACACATGTCACTATTGTGAAAGGATTCCATAAGTAGACAAGAGCAGCAATATCTCCAGAAGAGAGGATCTCTGGTTACAATGAAAATTCCAAGTTCAACTTCTGAGAAGACAAAAGTGGAGGGGAGGAGTACAACTATTTGATAATAACATAGAAAGATAAAACAATCAAGAAAGAAGATACTAAAGAAAGAACAAGGATAAATCAAAGTAGTACATGCACCATCTGGTCCAAGGTCAATGTTCAACCTGCCAATATTTTATTTGTCATGTTTCTTCCTCAAACTTGATGTCATGGAATCTCTAACAGTTTTATTGAAAAGGAATGAGATTCACTGACAATAAAAAAAAGTGCCATCCGAAACACTTAAAGCACCCTATGTAGACCAGTTCAAGAAAGTGAATCTTGCTTAGCCATGGCAGATTTGCTGTTAATCGAGGGGTATCCTTATCTTTTCAATCAATTTGCCAATCTTCAAGGCTTGACTTGGATGAGAATATAAAATTTACTAAATCCATTTATATTACACATCTAAGTTATTATACTGATGCAATCAGTCATGCCAGGTCTGCAAGAATATTTCTTGCTTGTCTTTTCAACTGCTTATCTTTGCCCTAATATTTTTCACATTAACATAACTAAAAACTGTTGAGAGACATTAATTATTTGGTAGTCTATTTCTGATCCAGTTTTTTGATGATAACTGTCACCATTGAGCCCACAGGTTTTATCAAACCCCACTTTTACCAAGTCATGTTAAGATGTCTTTCACAACATGGATCAACTGGTTTCTGGTATCAAAACATTGATTAAAGGATTTTAGTTTTGTACACTAACCACCTCAGTTCTACCCTTAACTTTTAAGCTCCAATTTGCTACCTTCTTAATACTGCAGTGGCCTGCCCACAAATTTATATATGACTACTCTCTTAGAAATTCAAATGAAAATTTGCTTATTCTATTTTTTCTCTAAATGTTGCAACGAGAATGTTATGAACTCTCAAAGAAAACCCAACCCAAACGCACACACACATACACAAACAATGAAGACCAACCAACTAGATAGGAATCAAGCTATCACTTCCATCAGTTCCACCTTATGACTTCAATACATATAGTTTTTTTTTTTTTTTTTGGGGATCAGCACTTCAGTATATATAGTTGACATTGCCAAAATGGTTATAATATTGTGGACTGCACCGCATAATCCTAATTTATAGTCTTCTATCATATTACTAAATCTTATTTCTCTCTGCTTTTATTCTTTTTATTTTATACTATTTTTACGTCCTATTTATAAAAGAATTGCCTAAAGTATTCTAGTCATACAAGAACTGAGAAGATCTATTTTAATCAGTACATATCAAAGTTACCTGAACTCCCAAGTTGTGTTAAAAGTCCTAATGATTTCAAACTATAACTATAAGCCATCTGAAGTTTTTTCCCAGTAGCACGAATGAGCATGGCACTGCAAACATCTGCAATCACAGAAAGCAAACTGTATCCAAAAACATGTTGATATTAACTGCAGGTGCAAATAAATATATTAACTGCAAGTGCAAATAAATAAATATTTGATAAAAAGGGGAAAAAAAGAGAGGAAATAATGGAACATATGAAAAGAAGAAAATAAACAAAGTTACAAGACATTTGAACAAGATCTCACAAAAGGATCAAAACAAACATTGGTTCCCTTTCCCCATCTGGAAACAATGACATCCTAAGACTGTGCTTCAACTCCAAAGTCCAAACTTCGTTCCAACTCATCAATGGAACAGGTAGATAATAACCCTAGTGACTAGTTGCAAGGGTATTTTCAACTATACAAGAACTAAAAATAAAAAAAAATTAAACCCCTCAGGGAAAGCTAATGTGAATCCACAGCTTAGGTATAATGTGGCATAATTGCATTTTCTTTTTACTCATACAATGACTTGGCAAAAAACAAAAAAAAAAGAAGGGTAATTCATAAACAGTTAAACATTATGGAATAAACACTAAAAGTTGCAAAAAATAAAGAGGGAACGGTATGCTGAATGAGTAAAAGAGATAGCAAAGCAACAAGACTAGACAGTTTCTGTGAGGTATGATATATCCAACAAAGGGTACCCAGACTGAAGTTAATGCTTCTAACTAAACTAGGAAGGATGTTACTTCTGTGCTTCTTGATTATTGACAAGCAAAATATAGTTAACAAAATCATAAAGTCCATCAAATATGGCACATTAAATGTGAAACATAAGAAGCAAACAATATGTTCCATAGTAACTAAGAATTATACCCACATAAATCAATCAACAATGTTGCTTAAGATATCGTAAAACACTCAAATCCTTACTAAAAGTCTAAAACACACAGATAGCACGTAGAAATGATCCTACCTGAAAAACAGATGATTGGGCTGGCCTTCAATTCTGCATTACCCCATAAAGAATATAAATTTGTTTGATAAGTTACCATATAATCAAAACCCAAATTGCAAAATCACTCAATCACTATACCAATTTGAAATCTAGCATCTATCAGTAGTAATGAATCTAAAGCTTACAATGCCAAATTGACAGACACTACTACTGATTAAAGCATAAATTATTAGCTTAATTGTTGAAATGAGCTGATGCAGTACCTCTTAACAGTGAGTGGCCCGAGAAGGGAAAGTAACAAAGGGGAACCATGGTACATAGATCCTGCATAACCCACCAAAAAAGATCGCAAATTGAAATCATTACTCATTTTAAATGCTCAAAACTGATCAAAAAGTCATCTAAAAAGAAGTAGAACAAGCCTAACCTGCATAGGGAGACATTGACGATTGCTTTAACCAGAAACCTTCAGCCACTACACAAAAAAACAAAAAATAAATTAATACAAAAATGTAAAACTAAAAGGGTATGGTTAGTATGGTTAGAAGAAGAGGAAGTAAGCAATGAGCTTACAGCGACGGAGACTGGTGAGCGGAGTGGAGACTTCAGGGCGAGCAGCTAAGTTGAGGTTTTTGGGGAAATAAATTAGAATAAGCCTGAAGATGATAGATGCAACGACCCAACTCCAAAATGATGCCACTTTCTTCTTCTTCCTTTGATGGGTCTCCTCCATTTTCAGAGTTTGGATTTCTTGAGTGCGCAGAGGATCTGAGAAAACAGAGGCCAACAATTGCCTGATACACGGTGCACACAGGAGCAGTACTGCAAACCGTTGCCTTGAAACGACGTCGCTTTAGGCATCCCGGGCTTTAATGGGCAGCTAGTAATTTTCTTTTAGTAATCGACTTCTGTGTTTGGGTGTGTAACAAAAACGAAAAAAAAAAAACATAAACCACCCTGATAGAAGGGCGCTTCTTCTTCATGATATTAAGACTGTTTTCTTATCAAATTAATTTTATTTTATGATATGATATAATTTAAATTATAAAATATAAAATTCATGTAATAAATATGTCAAGATCAATAGAGTAATTGCATACTTTCTTTTTATTGTGACTAATCTTGTCCCATTAGTAACATGCAATTTGCAATTGAAAATTGTATGAATTTCAATTAGTCTTAACAAAAACAGTATATGGATTGCAAATTGCATGGTACTTGATCATGCGTGGGTTTTTAGAGGAACAGTATAATATGGCATTATCAGGTACATCGTTATGTACTGATTATAATCAAGGTATGTATACTCCTTAAGCACAAAGTTACAGAGCAAGAGATAATTGGTTGCATGATGTAACATGATTAATGATCCAGGAATTGTATTCTTTGTAAGAATCAAGTTGGAATACATTTTTTTCTTTTGTTAGGGATCACTTGAAGTTGTGAAATGCAGTCTGGAGTCGAACTGTAAAGCACAAGATCAAACCTCTGCTTCTGTGGTCGAGGGAGATAACATCAACAGACAAATTTCGGCCAGGGCAACCAATATTAGAAGTAAAACACAAGATCAAGTCTCTGTTGAGTCTGGAAAGTTGCTGACCACAGTACCTTCGTTTGAGTTGTATGAAACAGAGATTTGACAAGGAAACGAGAGAATGGAGATAATTTAAACGAACAAGGTTGGAATAATATGGTGGTGTTATGGTGGTGTTTTTTAAGGATAGAAAGGATGGATATCCTTCAAGGTTCTGAAATCTGGAATTTGGCTACTTTTTTCTTTATGAATAATGAAAAGTCTATTGGTTGGTTTCTAAATCTACCTGAAGACAAGGGCTGCCGAAAATGGTTAAGAGTTTGTCTATGAAACACAAAATGGCCAATCAAGACCTGCACCTCCTGGGATTTGATTGGTGTTACTTCCAGTTCGGGAACCCATTCAGCTTCAGATGCCATTGACAGGCACCAGGAGCTGGAACTCTGCTGGCAAGAAACTGTGTAGCTGAATGTATGGCTTTGATGTATTTTTGCATGGCACAAATTTGATATTAACAAAACCATGCGTTTGAGGTCCGTACCTTACATGCCTTCATATTTAACATTACGCGCTGCATGGTCACTTTTAGAACATTAAACAAGCATAAAATGCATCAGGTTGCAGCATCCAAAATTTCAAAATCTAGCAATTATATGTAATTGGATTTTTATAAAGGGTAGAGACGAGGCTTGGAGGAGAGTAGGAAAAGAGTAGAACTTAAAACATGAATTTGACATATAGCCATGGAAGGGTGCAGACATTCACCCAACCGGGGAAGAGAGGAATTGTTCTCCAACTCGATCTCTCTATTTCCAATAGCATATCTTCCCATTTATAGCAGAAAAGTTACCACATTAGAATAGATTTCTTTGCCTACTTTCCATGGTTTATGATTACACGTTTTCTACAAAATCTATTCTAACATTTAAATCAAAGATTGTTATATATAAACTAACATAAAAAGTACATTGAAAACACTATAATTCTATAACAGTGCAGAAATCTTAGCTGCCATTTTCTGTCACATTGCTGCACTTTTGTTGATTAATTACACCCTCCATTTGCGTTTGCCTTTCATTTCATGTTGCTTCCATAATGCAGCTTTGTTTGCTGCATTTTTTTTTCCCCCATAGAAGTATCTTTCTCAATGCACATTTTGTCCCATAAACACAGCTTGCTTGCTACACCATTTTGCTGTCTTATTGCAGCAACATCACTGCAGCTTTGATGCCATTGCTCCAACAACCAGCAATTTACACTATACTTAATGGTTAAGAACTCAATGCCCCAACTAGCTGTCTTCAATCTATTGCCTCCTTTGCCAAACAAACTCTTAGCACAAGCTGAGGGATTCAAACACTAATCTGAATAAGAGAACTTAATCCCTTATCTTCCCTTTCGCCCAATCAGAGTATCTCTCATGAAGTAAATCAAATATTTTCTGCAGGATATATTTCACATTTGAAGACCATTTTGTTCCTACTTTGCTAGGAATTACTTACTTAATTTCCCCTTAACATTTTAACAACGCAAATGTTTCTCTAAAAGGCATTCATCATCTCTTAATAATTTGTTTCTACCAAAAAATAATAATAATAGTAATAATCTCTTAACAATTTGTATGAGTTTTTAGCCATATATTCTCCTTCAATTCACAACCGAAATTCTGAAGTCTCAAATCCTCTATCTTCCTCTCTCTCTCTCTCTTTTTTGGGTAGAGAAGAGAATTAGCATAGATACTTAATGAGCTACAACAGTCCTGGGAATCGCATTCCCAATAATATCCAAATACGGTTAGTTACAAAGGTCAGAAGGACAGTGATCAAGAACAACAAAATAAGAGTCCGACTTTGCACCCTTTTTCTGCCAACCCATCAGCAACAGCGTTGGCTTCCCTGAACACATGACTAAGCTGAAGGCCGGGGATTTGAGTCATCATAACCCTGCAGTCATCAATTAAAGCGCCCAGTGAATGAGATGAAGAGTTAGCAGAGTCCAAAAGAGTTTTTGCAACCTTAGAATCAGTTTTGACAAGAAGTGGGAAAACCCCCTATCCGCAGCAAGTTTGAGACCATCTCTTAAAGCCCACGGTTTGGCCGAAAGGCTGGACATAAATCCAACATTCTGATAGAACCCCAACAGCCAATTCCCAAGATCATTCCCTGAAGACCCCCCCGGTACCTCACTACCCAGGGACAAGGGGGGGGGGCAGCTGCCCCCCTAAGCTTTTGAAAAATTTCAAATATGGTATATTAATTTTTATTTTCTACAAAATTTTGTTTTTTGAGGTTTTAAATTATTGGGACCATTTCAAATATTTTAAAAAAAAATAGGATTTAGGTAAAGGAATTATTTCTCTCTTTTTGATTAATTTTTAAGATATGATAAATTGGCCTAGGTAAGAAAAAATATTAAAAAAAATCAAAATTTAATTAATTACATTAATATAACTTATATAAGTTTCTACAGTAATTATATATAATTTTTTTGTACAATTTATATACTATGAAAATAATGGTTGAATTTATTTTATTTATATAAATCATACATTTCAAATTTAAAATTATTTTGATACAAATAACCATCGTAAAAAAAAAAACTATTTTTTATATTATTTATTTAGAGATTTTAAAATATATATCATTTAAAAATAACTAAATATATCTTTCTTTCTTTTTTTTTATAAAACTACATATATTTAATTAATTTAAAGTTTTATATGCATAAATAAATAATACATACATAAAATAAACAACTAATATAAAAATTAATTTAAATTATATTAATAGTAAACTAATAAATAATTTACAAAAAAAAAAAAATTAACCTTTTCCCTCGTCCCCAACTTCAATTTCTAGCTCCGTCCTTGTCCCTACCTAATCTACAAACCAATCCCATTCCCCTGTTGAGTGAGAGAGGAAAGAACACAAGACTTTTCCTATGAAAGTCTGGTTTTTGTATTGAAATCACTCCAATGCAAGTATACTTACTCGACTCACGTCACTCTCACTCTCACTGTTACTTCTGGACCCACACTATACTCTTTTGCTCACTTTTCTTCTTCTCTTGAACTCATACACACGTACATACATAAGTTGTCAACCTCTTCCGGTCTTCTTTTTTTTTTTTGGGTTTTTCACCTGGTATCGGGATTTCATTCCGGTTAATTCAAAACGATTCGCGTCGTGCATCTGAAAATAATAGGTGAGTCTTTTAACAAAAGCTGCTACATACATAAAATCTTGAAGTTGAGATTTTATTTAAGTTGAAACAAGTCGTTTACCACTTGATCCAACTCCTAGTTGATTTTCAGTCTTCTTTTAATACTTACAAAAGTTGGTGATGTAAACCGACGGTGCATCTTCGAAAGTGTTCTTTTAATTCACAAAATTTTATTTTTATTTTTATTTTTGGTGAAAACAAAATTTTAATTTATTACACATGTAAAACCAAGGTACAACTAACGTGGCCTCTTCTACATTTTATATCCTTGTGTGGCTTTAATTTACTTTGTAGTAAAAATTGCTTCTAGAAGACTTCTATGTCATCACTTTCTAGATCCAAGTCGAGCTTCGAGAGTGTTCTTTTAATTCACAAAATTTTATTTATTTTTTTTTTTGGTGAAAACAAAATTTTAATTTATTACACATGTAAAACCAAGGTACAACTAACGTGGCCTCTTCTACATTTTATATCCTTGTGTGGCTTTAATTTACTTTGTAGTAAAAATTGCTTCGAGAAGACTTCTATATCATCACTTTCTAGATCCAAGTTGATGATGAATATTTTAGGTTAAATTTTTAATTTGATTTTTGAACTATTGTACGGATTTTCGATTCGATTCTTAAATTAAAAAAAATTTTTAATTTGATATCTGAATTATTATACGGATCTTGATTTGATATTTATTGTTTACCAATTTACTTTAAGTTGGTCTTTCTATATAAAAAATAACAACATGTCTCGTTATTAATGTGATAAGTGGCTATTAAATAACTATTTTTTATCGTTAAGTAACGGATACATCAGTTATTTTTTATACGGAAAAACCAACTTAGGGCTAAATTAGTAAACAGTAGAGAACAATTCGAGGGTTTGTATAATAATTTAGGGACAAAATTGAGAATTTTTTTAGTTTAAGGACTAAATCAAGAGTCCATACAATAATTTAAGAACCAAATTGAAGGTTTAACCAATATTTTAACATCCCCTATCTCCCAACAACCTTTAACACGATTTCCTCATCCACCTCTCTACCAAACAAAGTCGCTTCAACTATTTTTTGTCGTTAAGTAACGGACACGTCATTTGTTTTTTGTACGGAAAAACCAATTTGGTGCTAAATTAGTAAACAGTAGAGACCAACTCGAGGGTTTGTATAATAATTTATGGACCAAATTGAGAATTTTTTTAGTTTAAGGACTAAATCAAGAGTTCATACAATAATTTAAGAACCAAATTGAAGGTTTAACCAATATTTTAACATCCCCCATCTCCCAACAACCTTTAACACGATTTCCTCATCCACCTCCCTACCAAACAAAGCCGCTCCAACTAATGTTTTAAAATCGACCTAGAGGTCAAACCATTTTGACCTTCAGCTCTCGATTTAGTCGGTTTAATCAGTTTAACTGTTCAAACCATCGAGTTAATTCAAATGAATAAATATAATATTGTGTAGTGGTTTGATAGGACTTGTGGTTCTATAGGTTTGTGACCTTGCCATCGTGGAGGAAACGCAAGTTCAAGCATACTCCATGTTAAAATGTAAATTATAGTATGTTTAATTTTTAATGGGTTTTTTCACATGTAAAATGTATAATATATGTAATTTTTT